GGGGCGGGGCCGTGGGCGCGGGCGGGGTGCGGTGGCGACGAGCGGCGGGAACCTTGCGACAGGCGCTGGGTCTGGAGTGTGGACTGGGGATCGCGGCTGTAGTGGGTCAAAGTGGGTCACACCGTGCCCCATCTCCAGCCAGAGACGTCCTCTGGGGACCCACTGCTAATTCCAGCCCGTTCCCAGGGCCTGCGGGAGCGGGCTCAGAGGTGCGGCGCTTCCCGCTTCCAGGGCCCGGCTGAGAGGTGACTTTCCAGGTTTCAGGGGGCACTTTCCACTTACCGGGGAGCTCACAGGCTCAGCTGCTGTGGGCCTGTTGGGCTGGCTTTCGCCCTCAAGCCCGTTTCACTTCTGAAACTTTATTTGTGCGGCCCGTAAAATGCAGACTGCCCCATCCCCTCCCTGGAAGAGGGGACCTTTGCAGGAAACTAGAAGCGCATTCTCAGGCCCCTTCCTCATCCCTGAGCAGAGGGGCGCAGATGTTCAGGACCACAGATCTCAGGCACAGTGGTTAGTGCAGATGTTCAATTCTGATGAATAATTTACACGTTCTCTAAGACCACAGAACAAATGGAGCTCTGGCCAGCATTTCACATTTACATAGCTGGTTGCATGCGTTTTTACTACGTCTGACAGATTTCTCTCTGGAGTTTAATGAGATACGGGCGTTTTTGTTCCTCCAAAGTTAAGTTGATGTCTGAGGCTTTAAATGCAGGCTTTTAAGTGGAGGCATGAAATTATGTGAGGGCCTTCCAGGGTTGCGCTGTCTGAGATGCAGCCCCCGGAGGCCAAGAGCGGTCTGTGCCAGGCATCTGCATGGGGGTGGGAAGGCTGTTTGTAGCTTTGGGCACCATTAGCAGAATCAGTATCCCTCCCCGCGTCTGCCTTAGCTGCTCCTGGCAGCCGACGCTTCTCCATGCAGTCTGGCTGCTGTCCCAGGCGCTGCCACTGCGTCCCCTCCTCTGAGACTTTTCTTACCAGTCGTTTTCACCTAATTGCATCCAGTAAATGTTAGTGCTTGGAATCCCCCAGAGTGTGTCCCGTGGTCTGCGGCTGCAGTGGGGACCTGGCTACCGCACCCACAGTTGATTTAGGGGCTGAGAAGTACCCAGGGTGAAACCTCCCAGCTAAATCATGGCGGTGGGGCCGAGGGAGGCTTGGAGAGCCCGGAGAGTCCCATCAGCGGTCCCCCAGCCACCCCCCGGAGACTCACGCTAAGTCAGAGCAGTGTGTGTGCACTCTGCAAACTCAGCTCCAAGTCAGTCCTGCAGCCGCCTTCGAAGGAGATCGCCGCCTCGGATCCCTTCCTTCCTCTGGAGCTCGAGCCATGTGGAGACCCGCTCCTCTGGGGCTCAGGAAGAACTAACTTCTCACCTGCCCACCCCAGCCTCTGTCCGCGTTCCCGATCTGGACATCCCACACCCACACGCACACGCGCGTGTGCACACACACACACACACACGCATGCACCAGCAGTGGGTTAACAACAGAAAGCAGAGAGAGGCTCAGCAAGAGAAGAGGCTTGATGCACAGCTCAGCAACCCCGTCCTGCTTCCCATGGGTGAAGTGGAATCTCTGGACCTCGGCTAATTAGTGGCCAGGGAAAGTTGGGACAGTGTGGCTCAGGCCCACCACTGCAGAGCCTCACCATTAGGGCGGTCGATGCCCTGGTGGGGCGGTCGAGGAGGAGAGGGCTTAGAAAAGCTCAGTGCTGCATAAATAATGAGTGGGCAGGATGAAACCGGCTGCAGCTGGCTGGGTTCTATAAAGCGGCTTCCTGTCTGGGTCTGTCTTAGGAGGTGGGCCTTCGGCCCCCGCTGCCCAAGCAGCCCTGAGCTAAATCCTCAGCTTATTTTCCCATGGGCAACAGAACGAATGGGAAGGAAATCAAAAGCATTAATTAGCCAGAGAAAAGACTCTGGGAGACATGTGTAGAGGGTGAGACTGATGACTCTGTCTGCGAGCAGTGGGGACACCAGGGCCAAGACCTGGGCAGCTCTGTGACAGCGGGGAACAGAGTGGGGAGTCACCCGCCTCCAGGGTCAGCACCAGGGTGGACTGGGCATGTACCCGGGCTCTGTCCCAGGTTTGAGACTTTAGTCCACTCTTGTCACTCCGCAGTACCTTTGAGGACAGCGATCTTAGAGGGGGGCCCAGCCGGTTCTTTCCTGTGATGGGAACACCTGTGCTCCTTGTCCCCGCTTTGCTGCTGGGACCTGGCGTAAATAAAGCCAGCAGCAGCTCCCTCCTGCGGAGCCTGGCTGGCCCATGGCTGCGGGCGTGTGCCAGGTTCTGTGGAGGCTCAGCGGAGACGGTGTCCACAGGTGTCAGGTCTTAGGCGGCCGCCGCACACGTGTGGAAAGGTTATCTGTACCGATGGTAGTCACCGTACCAAAAAGACGTGGGGAGAATTTTTCCCCACTTAGATTTGGGGCTCAGGATTTTGTTTTTGTCTTTGCCTCTGAGCCCCACCTCCCAGAGCTGACACTGAAGTACCGAGCTGGGCCAGAGAGCTGAGGAGAAGAGCCTAGTGTGTCAGCTCTGCAGTACCAGGCCTTGTGACATCGGTTTGGTCTCACACTCTGGCATTTCCTACAGCTGGCTGTGTAAGGTGTCCCAAGGGCACAGCTGTAGCACGGGTGCTGTGACAGGTGACTGCACCCTTCCCCCCTTAATAATCAACCTGCATTCTACAAGCTTCTGTCAGAGGGCTAGCCTGGGTGAGGACATGGCCAGGTGTCAACCAAGGGCAGGGATTCCCCTGCGATGCAGTGTGACAGCACAAGGCAGGTGGAGGGGCTCAGAGGACGGTATCTCTGGCCCTAGAAGACAAGGAGTGACCAGTTGACTTGGATCTGAAGATTTCAGTGTTTTTCACAGTCTTGTTTGACTTTCTCCTTGCCCCGGAGCTATTGCCCCTCCCCCGGGCCCACTGACTGGACCTTGGGGCCTTGCAAGGGATCTTGCTGAGGCTTCCCAGAGCCTCGCCCCATCAGCCGCTACCTCTCTGAGCAGATGGCATTGAGGTTAAAGGTGTGCTTGGTGAGGGGACTGGCATGATCTCTGGCGTCACGAGCCATAGATGAACCAACACTCGTTAATTCAAGCTTTGCGGGGCTCATAGGAGGGTTTGTCCAGATGAGGTCTGCCGCATTAAGAAAGTTAGTTGTATGAGTAAGTACATCCTCACACTCGCTGGCTGTTGGAGGCCTGTTTGAAAGTGACTCTCAGCTATGTGGGAGCCAGACCGCAAGTCAGCAGGAGACTCGACCTCCTTGTGTCCAGGACAGGAAGAGAAAAGCAGCTCCTGCTGAGAGCAGCTGTGAGTGTGGTGGAGAGTGAATCTAGGCTTAGAGGTGGGAGACTCGGCCAGGCTGGGGCAGGCTCGTGCCCTTGCTGGCAGAAAATAGCTTGTCTGCAAAATAGGGGAGGGGGATCAAATTGTGGTTTGGGGTTTTTTTTTGTCCTTTTGTGACAGGGTCTTGCTATGCAGTTCAGGGTAGCCTTGAACTCACTTTGTAGCCCAGGCTGTCCTTGAACTTGTAGCGATCCTCCTGCCTCAGCCTCCTGAGTCCTGGGGTTATAGGTGTGTACCACCACGCCCGGCCTCAGATTGGTGCCTGGAGTCTGCCGTGACGGAGGGGAAAGCAGGTGCTGAAGCTCCACCTGCTTCTACCAGCACCTAAGAACCAGCATCCATTTTGCATTTTAAGTATGTCTGAAGAATTCTGGCTGAGGGGTGGGCTTACACCTGAGACGGGAGGACAGCAAGTCTAGGATACACGGCTGATTCAAGGCCGCTTAGACTAGTGAGACCCTTCCTCAAAAAAAAAAAAAAAGACCAAACAAACTGAAGAATTCTACTAAAATTTTGTTCGGGTCCCCCTTGGACCCTGTGATCTTCCCAGGAACCCGCTTGAGTTACATGTAGGGTCCCGCTGCTCTGCTGTCTCAGGCCCAATGGCAGACAAGCAGCTGAGGCCAGGATGAGATCCCCTGAGCACGCAGACAGGGGACAAGCGGGGGGCTGTTCCCATCTCCCTTCTGCTGCTGCTTCAAGGGACCTTTGGATTAGCTGCCCCGCCCCAGCTGCAGCCCCCACACCCACACTCGGTGTCCGAGGGGCCCAGGGCTGGGAGAGTGGGGCTGGGCCTGTGTGTGTGTGTGTGTGTGTGTGTGTGTGTGTGTGTGTGTGTAGAGTAAGAAGCAGAACTCACGAGCAGCTCACACATCCCTGTG